ACTTTCGATCTTGAAAGACTCCATTCCCAGTTTAGCCCAGTGTCATTGTACACATCCCTGCCAGACTTCGTCAAATGAATAAAGCAGCTGATCCGTGTGAACTATCACCCGTGGTAATCAAGGTATGTGGTGGCAGTCTTTCAGTCCTTCTGTTCAACATATATACATATAAATGCTGTCTGATATTTGGAAACTGGCTCCAAAAAGGAACCGAAGAAGTATCACCCCATCACCTGCGCGTCAGATACGCTCAGATTATTTGTGAGATAGTTGCTACCGTGAGTTATCATTGAGTTTTTCAAAGACGACATACATCAATTTGCATATCGGTCTACGCTCTAAACACTTGATGCCGATGCTTACTCTGTTCACTCAATACTTTCGTCTCTGTCGAGGAAGTCTAAGACCATCAGTCTCGATCGAACGGTATTGCTCAACCTGGTTACCGAAACTGGTGTTATTCCAATTGTTGGCAGATTGAAGCGCGATTAATTCACGAATAGAAGGCAGTTCATGTGCCTGAACGGCAAGAAATCCACTCGGTCGATTGCTTCTGAAGTTCTGTCAGGTGCGATTTTCCCTGTTATTTATTTACATATAAANGGGAGCAAATATGCGGGGGTTTTTGTTGTAGACTGATAAGTAGCGACTCCTGAGAAGGCTTCAGAAATTCGAAGTAAGCCAGTCAGTCTCTGTCCGCTCGCCTCTTATTGAATGCTGCAAAATGCCAGGATATTTTGTACGTTGTATTGTGTCCCCCCCCCATTGGTTATATTTCTCTCCTGTGATTTTTCCCGGTATGTTTCAAAAGGACCTGATTTTACTGATGAGATCTTTAAATACATTTCTACCTATAGTGGAATTATCACAGATAAAAACGATTCACTATATCTTGGACCGATCTAAAAATTTGTGAAAACTTCGTTGCCGAAATACTCTCTTCACACCCATCGTCTTCCATTGCACAACGAACATTGAAAAGCTGCACCAACGTCAACNCGCTCAAACAACAAACATTTTATCTGTACCGATCGCTTTATATCGAAATTCTGTTTTAAACGCTGAGGTGATAATGACATCAGCCGTTTAGTTGACAAATGCTTGAAGTTCGCAATCAATCGTGTCCGCTTCACAGTCGACTCCGTCGTCACTACCACTCAGATAACAGTGCCAAAGGAAAAAAGAACCGTTGCCCCCTACGCCAAGTCAAAATGTGTTTAACAATGCAAATATGGATGGTTAGCCACTTACTTCGGTAGGACAGGGAGGCAGTGTTGTCACTTGATAACCGAACAGATCCCGGCGTGGTTTAACAAAGTGATAAACGATCAATTGAGAACATCTTCATCATCGATTGGACATAAAACGATTCCAATCTTCGATCGCACATCATCTAAACCTCGCGAGAAACATGTTGCATTTTCACGAACTTCACATGCCCAAGTGAATTTTGAATCGGTGGGATAGACGTCACCCCGAATGACATTGAAGGAACAAAGATATCCATTTAGGTAACTATAATAATAAATTACCAACGATACTTTTTTAGAAATATAGAGTTGATGCCTTTTGTGAGATCAATCAGTGTCAGCACATATAAAACAGTCAGACGGTTTACTAGGTCCGGACCACACTGTGGCACGACATATGGAGTGGAAGTGACTAAAATCCACCCACAACGGGATTAGAAGTCCTAAACAGCTCTCAGGGAAGGGTAAACTTATGAACTCAAACTCTTGGAGACAGGCCTCAGAGAGATGATGCAAACACTTAAAGCGATCCTCGGATGAAATACAAGAAAATTAAGAAGGGCATGACTTTTACAGCTTCATCAACAGAAAGAAACGTGCAACGTGAGTACGAGCTAATGTAACTCAGAAAAACGAATGGAATTTGGTCTACTTCATCGATGAAAGGAAATTTAATTTAGATGCATCCGATGCATGAAACTACTACTGGTATGTTCTGCGGAAATAAGGGCGCTATTTTAGAGGCGACCGAAACTTTCTTGATGATGTACGGTCCAACGGAACTGCCTGGGGTACAAGATTATGATACTTAAATTCATATATTGGAGCTGCACTCTATATCAGCATTGGCATCGGATGGACATCCTGAAGCTATTTCCCAGCATAATATTGCCTTGGTCCATAAATCGTGTCTAACAAAATGCTGGTTAATGGTTCGTGGCATCAAAATAGTGGTGTGGTCTGTTTGCCTGCAGCTTAGTTTTTTTATTACACAGTGTGAATTACAGTAAAAGGGGAAAGCCCCATAGATAAATAACATACTGTGAAAGGAAAAGTATAGGAACATTCAAGTAAGATCCAGTTTATTGATTCTACGTTTAAAAAGTGTAAGGTTGTAGGTTGGGAAGAAAACAGAAAGTGGGAAAGTGTTCCACAGTTTGGCAGATTGGAGCAGAAATCTGATAAGGGAGAGGAACTGCCGAGGCAAGTTCCGAAGAACAAAAACCAAAACAGTAGTGGTAGAATAGGGACAATAAACCAACAGTCCGATGATGGGCTAGTGACTGCAGACTGAATGCTACGGAAGGATCATTGATTAGCCGGATGGCCTTTCGTTGAACACGATCTAGAGGGCAGCACGTGAATACAGTATTCAAGAGCAGGGCGGGCCCAATACAAAAATACTTGGGCTATTCTTATGCGAAAGTCGTAACAACATTTTAGAGTTTATACCACAAAATAGGAATTAGCGGACATTTTGGTTCGCGAGTAAAATAATATCGACAAGGACATGTTTCGAAATCCGAAACGGTGTAACAACAAAGTAGCTTCAATGGGTAGGGACCATGGGGGTGGGGACCATACTTTCATTGCGTTGAAAATTCGTTTTTTACGATATATTTTCATTAAAATAAAATGAAATGAATTGGTGAAATTCCGGCTTTTCATTCAGATTCCGTCTAGCTCGCCCCCCCCCACCAAACGATGATGATCATTCATAGGCAAGTGGAAAATCTGGTGGGGGTGGTGAGTGCATCACCATTCTCAATGGCGCGCCTCTATGAAAAGAAACACACTGTCACCCTCAACACACTCGGTTAACATCATGTGCTCTAAGATAAACACAAAATTTCAAAGGTATATAGCATATTAAGCGTGAACGGAATTCACCTTTGAAATTGAATCTAATCCTGCATTACACACTTGAAATAAAGTGGTCAGTTTGTGAAAGTTTCCAACCGAGTCATAACCGCACGAGGCTAGTGCGGAGATGAGCAGGGTCTGTGGTCCGCAACAAGCTAGCAAAAATGGGTTGTAAATGGAAACTGAAAAACGGTCTGATCAGCTGCCCGGTGGCCGAATGGGTAACATGCATGCGTCCTGCTTGTGAGGTCCCGGGTTCGCAATCCCCAGTTGGGTCGATGAATTCGCGCACTATTGCTGATGAGACCCAACCAGGTCGAAACAGCTGTCCACTGTTGCTTCCACGCTTGTCAGGCTCACGCTTCATTTGCTCCCTATACACGACGAATTTGAAGTTTGAAATCGAATCAAATCCTCCATTACTCACTTGAAAACACAAAATTACTGAATTATGCGTGGGCGGTGGCCAATTACAAGCATTTACCCGATCTCTGCAAAACCCGTGAATGGTTGGTCACATTAGGATCATCCCTCCCCCTCCCCACCCCCCCGAAGCATCCACCCTCGACCCTAACCTCCACCAGTTTCGCTGTTGTGTTGTCCGTTATAACTCGCAATCTTCCTTGTTTTCATTGGCGATTTCACTGACAGTAAAACAAACGCTTTGTCACCTGAACTCAGAGCCTGTTTCGCAAAAAATGAGCACACACTGTCAATAGGAATAAGGAAAACCGGAGCGCGTGAGACCGATAAAATACAACTGTATACGGTGCCTTTTGTCATGTCTAGAGCAAGTTAAATGTGAAACAAAAAGCTGGGAGATGCGCTGTACAGTTGATTCGACCGGGTTGGATATGCTAGCGTTCTCCCTCTCTGTTGTCTCGGGTTCGCGATCCCCCGCTGAATCGATGGATTCACATTGCAACTGATGATGCCGAATCAGGTCGAAACAACTGTCCAGTGTTTCCTGGCTCTTCAGTTAGCTTTTCATTCGCTCGGGGCCCGATGAAATCCACATTTCTACAGTCAGATTCAGTGAGACTGATCTGTGAGACGTAACCAAATAAGACAGATGTCACACATTCGTACGTCATTTCTGTGACAGCGACATCCAACGGTCACGAAACAATGAAGTGGTCCGGGATTTTGGTTTTCTGACCGCTCGATGAACAATGTGCGGTAGAATGACGGGGATGTGGTCGGCTGTTTGGTGAAAACTCAGTAAAACGATCAGTTTACTCTCACTATTCACTGTTTTCAGTATGATAAAGCAAAAAATATAATTTTTAGACAGCTATGACATTGAATGCACGTAGTGTGCTGTTTCGGCCAGACTGTTTTTCACAGTTGACTGACCATAACAATACGGATGCTCCCACAAGCAGATGGCAAAACTCATAGAGCAACATAATCGACCGAGCTACTACACTACAGCTTCCTAGCAGAGAGTAATCCAGTGCAACTTCTTCGCTGGCCGTAACCATTTATCAAATGTGGTGCTCTCCCAACTGATTAAGCACAACGATTGCCTGTTTTGTCTTAATTTATCAGGCACCGTTCTGTTTTGACAGTGTCACTATTTGCTGGATAACTGCTTCATCGATATCTGATGGGAAATTCAGAGTTTAAACGCTAGAATACAACCGACGGATCTATTGCGGTGACATAATAGGAAGTGGAGTGAATCACATCTCTAGACAGTTTATGAACCGTAGATGGAATAATACAGTCCGCTGATCCATTGAAAGCTCATGAACCACTAATTACAATGATTGATTCATGGTTTGGCACAGACTAAGATCGGAAATTAATCCATTTAAGTCATCCTGTTCATTTCTTTATTATCTTCAACCCGTCCCACCCCACCCCCCCGGGACAGCACGGGAAATGCCAAATTCCAAGTCCAAAGACAAGAGCCCAACGCGGGGCAAAACGCACAGTCGACTGGTAGATCGTTTTCGGCACATGACACGATTCTTCTCCAATCCGACTCTGAGCGGACGAAAACCGTGCGAATCCGTACCGACTCAAATGCAGCAGTCCATCCTAGTCAACAATTTGTCACAACCTGACCGGGAACCGGGGGCTCAACAAAAACAACAACCAGAATACGAACAACACGCTAAGAAGCGTCATTCTGGTGGTCACGAGAAGTGGAAAAAACTCAGTCTGACAACTCTGAAACGAAGACACAAACAACATCTGAGTGTACTTCCCGAAGTCCCGTTTAAGGCGGCCACCTTTTCCACAGCCCGGGCTCAGTCAGTCACCAGTTCTTCCTACTGGACTGTGTCTGAATCAAATGCGGAAATACAGGTTACGGAGTTGGACGACTTTTTGCCGATCGATAAACTGGATATGCCGGTTGTTTGTTCTCAAGCCCATTTCATAGCACCAAGCAATCAGGCAATTTTTAGATCCTCGATCGCATCCGTGGAGGAATCAGTCACCACGGTGGGAAAACAAGACGTACTCTCTAAAACGGATAGAATTAAATTGAAAGCGAGAACCGCTCAGATGAATCCCGGAGCATTTTGCACGTACTA